CTTCTACATCACTCATTTTTTATCCCTCTTAGCACATGGGGTTTGCGCTTCAAAGTGTGAGCATGCTTTGATGAAGAATAAAGGCAGAATTAGCTGCTAAAACATAGCTACTAAAGAGAGAAACGATGTGCACAGAATGAATTTCTTCAGTTTGGGGAAGATTTGTGGCTGTAAAGTAGTTATCACTTAAATTTAGGACAAGTTCTTTGTTTGAGAATAGCGTTCCTTTGCTCTTGCCCGTTTTTCTTCTGTTAACTGCAAAAAAAGGGGCAAGCATTAGGCATATGCATAAGCCCTTTAAAGGAAAAATTTCTTTTGCTGCATCAATAAGAAAAGCCTCAGAAGATGTAGGTGATGATAGCACGTTGTGGGAAAGGGTCTTGCTGGATTTGGGTTTTTAAACTGATTCACAAAAACTGTATTGTTGCATGGAAAATACAGTAACATAATGGGCATATATATTGTTCAGGCACTTGTTCAAAGAAGGTATTCTCTCCCTTTTAGGAGGGTATTGTTTTTGGAGAAGATGATTTGCAAGTACTTAATTTATTATGTTGCATTATATGTGCTGATTCCTTGATTCCTTTTTCCCCCCCCCCTCTCTAGGTAAAAGTATGGATGAAATTAAGAAGCTGCTGTTGTTGATTCTGGGTTGTGCTGTGCAGGTGAATGTTCATTGAAAAATACTATTTTTTGAATCTGTTACTATTTCTGGGCAGAGAAAATACAGCCAAAGATCAATGCTATATGAACAAATCTTCAGCTGAAGATAGCTTGTGAATTAAAACTATGAAAAAATGCAGTATGTGAATGAATAAGTTGTAGGGAGAAAGGAAGCATGCTTTGCAATAGCAGTAGTCCCAGTTTGTTGCTAGTGCTTGAATCAGTCACAGGATACATACTTTTGCAACTACGTAGTCCGCTTTAATGGCACAATACAAAAAGATAAACTTTGAATAATTTTGTTCGTCTGAAGATTTTTCTTGGTTTATTTTCTTACTATTTTAAAATATAAAAGAATATAACAGTATGTGTTAATGCAAAGTAAATAGATGAGCTAACAGTCTTAACACATTTGTTTAATGAATCCTAACTATTTGTGCATGTTTTTTGAATATTACATGGTTAGAAAATCCTAAAATAATAGGTACTCTGCACAGTTATGTGGAGATTTTTAGGCACCATTTGTTAAAACAAATGGTCAGGCAACACAAATGAGAAACTCCCCAGAAATACACGTAGTTATCAGATAAAGAAACCTGTGTTCTGCCCACCAAACCTCTGTGGTGGTAAACAATAGAGGCGTTGGGGGCTAGCCTTTGCTTATAATTGACCTTGTTTGTAGGTCTATCTGGTGTTTTTTGTCATGCCTCAGGACACTTACCCTGCTCAACTGTGTCAAGTCAATTATGTCAGGGTAGTGCTGTCTTCATATGGCTGCTCTGAACTTTAACTCACTGTTAAATTGCAACACAAAGAATAAAGGTCTGATTTGGCAAGCTGTTTTGCATCCTCAGCCTGCATTTACGGTTCTGAGCCTCTTCCCAGTGAAATGAATAGTGAGACTCAGAATCAGACCCAAAAAGGACCACTGTAAGTGGTAGAAAAAGTAGTTTAAAAAAAAAAATTCAAATATTTAACTTCTCTTTTGCCTTCTAGTTAACTCTTCGTTGTAAGGTTATTCATGTACAGTTGCAGACATAGATAGTAGGAGATGTTTGATTCTTTTAAAACCTTCAGTAGAAGATTTAATAACATCTGTTCACCTGAAATATCACTCATTTTTACCCAGAGTGTTCCTCAGTCCTATTTTCTATATAAAGCACGTGTTGATTTAGTTCCAAGGAGCAAAATGCAGGGTTGATGTGAACACAATCTAAAGTGATGCACCTCTTTTCATTGCCAAAACCAAACAAAATGCAAACAGCTAAGCAGACAGGATAAATGATGCAATGTAAATGTAAGGCTTGTACTCACCTGGTTTACATTTGTGCAACTCCATTAATGAAACTGATGATTTCCTCTGACTGTCATCCCACCCCTTGATCTCATTGTGTGTTGGGCTTTTTTTTTTTTTTTTTAAAGAGAAAAACCAGCCATTTTAGCTGAGTCTTAATTGTACTGACTGTAAAAAGTTTCCATAATTTAATGCATAATTCAATTCATGTTCTATTTGTGCAACAGTGTTATACCTTCTAGTGTGCCAAAGTGTAGATCTTGAACATATTGTCGTTAGTAACATAGGAATTCTTTTTTTTTTTTTTTAATGAGAAAATGTTACAGAAAGTCTTTAGGTATGTAACAGCATTTCAGGGAGTGCTTTCTTTTAACAGTGTGAAAGAAAAGAAGAGTTTATTGAAAAAATAAAACAGCTGGATATTGAAACGCAAGCTGCTATTGTGTCACACATTCAGGAGGTAGGACTCTCCAGCGTTGTCTACTTTCATTTTCATTTTCTCCCTTTAATCGACATACTGGTTTTTTTGCTGTCAAAAAGTTAATGTTTGAAGTTTCATAATGGGATTGAAACTTCCCATTTCAATCCCTTTGACAGATGGGATTGAATTGACAGAGAAAAATGATTATTTTATGAATGTAGTATTGTAATCAAATTGTAAGTTGAAAATGGCAGGTATTTAGAATGTTGCTTGGCCGGGGGATCTTTTTAAAAGATGGAGTGATAAATGTCTTGCTTGTTGGTTATAGCCTCATGTAGAAGATACTCTTGTAAGGGTATGTTTGTAATAATTTCAAAAAGCATGTATGGTTTAGGACCCAAAGTCCCATTTGTAGCAACAGTCTAGGCATTTAGTCCCTAAGTCCTGTGATAGGAGAGACATAGGCTCCCCAGTGGCGTGGTTGCTTCAGGCAATGGTTTCCTAACTCCAGAAAGTCTTGAAAATTGTACTCTGCAGCTGAAACTTAGACACATGCTTTATTTTTAAACAGAAGTCTAATCCAGTGACAAGTACCATTGGACTTCTATGATTTCTATAAAAGGAAGAAATAGATCTAAAGAAAAGCCATGTGAAAACGCCCTCTGCTGGGTGGGCCTCACTGGAAAATGAGCATTTTGTGAGGTCTAGTGTCTTTGAGTGCTGGTGTAAAAACCCTAGTAAACTAAGATTTAAGGAACAAATTGTGGAAGACAGGAACTTACTAACACTTTAAAAAAAAAAAAAAAAAAGTCTGTTTTCTGAAAAAGGCTTTCCAGAGGAGAGTTGAAAAAAAAGTTATCTGAAATAAGCCATAATAAAGAACATGGTTATGACAGAAGCAGAAACATTCTCTAACTGAGCTTAGAAGAACCTTACCAGTTGACTGACAGTTCTACTAAATGATTCAGAGGAAACCAGCTGTGTAAGATGTCAGTGAAAACAAACACTGCTAGCAACAATGAGAAACATTGTTTCAGAGATCCTCCCATCTGTATAGCACCTGCAAATTGCAAAGTCATTGAAAAGAGAGCTTCTTCACAATGAGACACCAACCTCACTGTTTAGTGTGGGATCTACTCCCTTCTAATTTGTATATTGACCACCACAGTGCCTGAGCAAAGATATTGCATATTTTTTACTATGCAAGCATATGTTTTATTGACCATAATATGTACCTGATCGCTTTTAAAATTCAATCTTTATTATTATCAAAAATCTGAATACTAAAACTACTGGCTAGTGTTACAGTTGAGGTAGTCATGTCTATGTAATTTCCAGTCTGTTTTTGGTGAAATGTGGTATTTTTTTTTAAGTGGCCAGTAGATGAGTCAGGAGGGTGCAGCATGTATAGCAAATAAATTTACAAATCAGCTAATGGGAAGACTTTTTTTGTCCCTATTCTCAGGTGACTCACAACCAGGAGAATGTCTTCGATTTGCAGTGGCTGGAGCTTCCAGACATGGCTCCAGAAGAGCTGGAGTCTCTCTCCAGGAACATGGTTTTCCACCTCAAGAGGCTCATTGATGAGAGAGATGAATGCACAGAAGTATGATGATACCTCTCGCTCATATAGTGCTTGACTGGAGCAGCTGATGCAAGCTCTGTTCCTTCTGTTGTGTCTTGTTTGTGCCTTCCATCTCTTTTTGTTCTGAGCCTTTCTATTACACCTCTGGAAATCTGTAGAAAGATTTTGACTTTTCCATTGATTCTTAAGTAAACACTTCCAAGTGTGGTGCAATGATTGGTAAGAGGAGTGCATGCAGTGGAGAGACCAAAGTGCTTGAAGTTGTGGATTTATCTTGAGATTTTTGTCTCTGCCTGTCTGTTCAGCCATTCATATTACAGTGATTGCTTGTCTGTCTCTCCATTGATACCTACCATTATGGGTTCTGGTGTCATCTTCAGTGTTTTTCTTGCGTGAAATCGGCCCTATCTGCTGACTCATCAGCTCCTTTCCCTTCAGATCTTTGGAGGAGGCTTCTCCCCTTCTTTAGTCTGATTTTTGTCATGCATGTGACTTTGATTGTGTTAGTTAAAAACATTAGTTTTTACAGTTTATATGAATTCTCCAAGCAAAATGACTGCTAATTTTGATCTAGTCATCTGAGCATGTGGAGATTTCTTTCTTCCTCTGTTACCTTCATACTTCAGTATCACATGAATTCTGTATAGTGACAGAATAATAATTTTCCACATTTATAAATCACTTTAGATGCTTCAAAAACACAATGTATAAGTATTATTATTTATCTCTTAATACCACATGTTTTTCTCTATTTCCAGGTGATTGTAGATCTCACTCAAGAGAGAGATTATCTGCAGTCTCAGCAACCACCAACTCCTCTGAAAACACCAAGTCCAGATTCATCACCAAACCCAGCCAACCCTCGTTCTACTGAAGACAAACAGCACCTTGCGGTTGAGCTGGCAGACACAAAGGCTAAGTTGAGAAGAATCCGGCAGGAGCTGTGAGTCACCAGCAACTTGTGCTTCTAGAGATACTTGTGTGTTAAGACTTGTGCATACTGAAAACACAGTTGCCTGTCAGCTTCCCTATACTGACCTCCATGGGAACTCTCAGAATTGTCTTTCAAATTCCTTTATTCATAGCGCTAGGAAGCTAGCGTGGCTGCTCCGTCTTTTTTTCTTTCTTAGTTGATTTTTTAAACAGAATGATGGCTACTTTCATGTTTCTTCCTGTCTCTCATCTGTCTCTTCGCCTATTCAAAACACCAACTGCTAGCAGCACTGTTTAGTAATTAGTGGAAGTTCAGAGAACAGTGAAGTTAGCTATGACAACAATAGCATCCAATGAGATTTAAACAGAGATACCTAATATAAAAATAGAGTTGCAGTCTCAAACCCATGATATGTGCTATCACAGGAAAATACCTCTTGCTCTTATGAAGCTGGCATGCTATCAAAGAGGTTCCATGTTCAGAATATACTAGGTGACTTCTGTCTTCTCTTCAAGTTTCCTAGCAGGGTCCGTATAATCAGTAATGTTCCAGGAAAAAAAACTGTATTTTTTACTGGGTTTTTTCTAATCCTTTCCAGGGAAGAAAAGTCTGAGCAGCTTGTGGACTCAAAACATGAAGTTGAGCAGCTCATCCTAGAGCTACAAAAAATAAAACAAGAGGTAAGGTGGCCTTATTTGACTGTGACAGGCTTCCTAATTTAAAAACATCTCTTTCAGTGTGAGGTTAAAAATAATGCTCCACACTTTTTTTTTTTTTTTTTTTATCAAGTTACTCCAGCAAGCTATTTGGCTAGTACGACTGTGGCATAGCAGTGCTACGCTTCCTACTTAACTGATGAGAGTAGTCTCATCTGTTTAGCTTACAAGTAGTCCAGTAATGCCTGCAGCCTGTACAGCATCAGGCATTGAAACATCTGCATCCTAGCAGGTTAAGGAGCCTCTCAGTCTTGTAGAGAACTGACTGGCTGATAGGAGAGTTTACTCATTTCTAAACCAAAGAAAGATTATTCACTCTCCGTTCATGCCTGCTCTTAAACAATTGAGAAGTTCAAAGAATGCTCTTTCAAGTATTAATTTAGCTTTTTGTCCCTGTTTATCTCTCACTTCTGTTAGAATATCCACTTGGCCTCAGATGCTCGCTCTGCCCGAGCTTACAGAGATGAGCTGGACTCCCTGAGAGAGAGGGCAAACCGTGTGGAGAGACTTGAGATGGAACTTGTCCGGTGCAAAGAGAAACTTCATGATGTGGATTTTTACAAAGCTCGTATGGAGGCAAGTGGAGATCAGGAAGAAAATTTGCTGAGTAATCCTTAATGTTTGGCTTTTGTTATGTTACCAATTCATGTGTAACTTGCCATGGAGCTGACTATAGCAAAAGATCAGAGCAAGTGGCAATTTCATAGCATTCATCATAGGTATTGCTTTAGCAGCATTAAAAATTCTTTCAGTGGCAAGTAAGATGCAAAAAGTACTCATTAGTTTTAGTAAAGTCTGCTTAGTTCAGCATTATGTGGCTAAACAGGACAAACCTTTTCTGGAGGCTTCTAGAGAATCCAACCCTTTAGTGTCTAGCCTTGAAAATTTACTGTAAGTAAAATATCTGTGTTCCACAGTTGATCCTTTGACCAACAAGTTAACTTATACAGGACTATTAAATCAATGAATGGCTGGGTGTTTTTCCTTGGGTCTGTAGCAGCTGCAGCTGTTGTCCAAGTGGCTGGGTGTTTTTAAGCATGACCTCAGATGACAAATTCGAGGCACCCCTTTTTGCAACTGTTGCTTACAGTAGAAAGGAGAGAATGTTTGGATCTTCCCTGGTGCCCAGAGGAGAGGATGTTGATGAGAAACCTATGCCTTTGTTCCAGTAGTAATGCAAATTATCAGCTTAGTCACCTGCAGCTGTGCTCGTCCTGGAATCACAGAATAATTTAGGGTGGAAGAGACTTTGGAGGCATCTTTTCAAACCCCCTGCTCAAAGCATGGCTGACTTTAAAGTTAGGTCAGGTTGCTCTCATTTTTCCATCCTTTCAGTCCTTTGAGCCCCTCTCACCTAAACTCTCAATAACCCCACTTATGTGATACTTCAGCCAAAGTCAGATGGATATCCAGGCTTGCAAAACACATTGAGGTTGTTCTGTAGTTGACCCCCTCAGTATAATTAGGTAAAATCCCAGGTCTGAGAGAGAAGAGTGAGACTGAAACTCATGTTTACCAGGCCTCTGGCTAAGAACGTGTGCCTTAGTTCTGCTCTATAAACCCTGCTTTGTAGGCATTTTTTTTCCCCTCTCTAACTCAAGGCGCCAGCTAGATGCTGCTGCTTACGAATAGATTCACTAAGACGGCTGATTGTTAGATGTAGTAACAGCCTACAAAAGCCTGTCTCTTCTCTCAGTAATTTCCAGTTTACCTTAGGGAGTTAGAGACAGAGCTTCAGTCTTCCTCCCTGACAAATCTTGCTGACACATCAGTCATGCATTAACCTGGCATACTAGCTAGTAGTGTGACATCCTGATACTTCCCTTTTGACTGTGTACTGGAGTCGTTTAGCTTCTACCTGCTGCTCAGAGGATGTAGCTGGAGCTAGAGGAGGACAGTGTTTAGTCTTATCTTCATCTGAAGGCAGGGGAGTAGCTATTGCTGCTCCTGAGTTTTCAGACTCTTTGCTTGTCCTAGAACCAGCAATCTCCTGTCTGCATGCTAATCTTGCTTAACGTACCATTCAGTAAGGAGAGCTCCACTTCTGTTTTGTTCAATCTTCCTTCCCTCTTCTATCCTGCCAGCTTTTGAGGAAATTGTTGAATATTGGAGGTGAGTGTTGGCCCTCCAAAGAGACCTCTCTGAGATACAGCCGTGGATGGGACAAAGATCCCATCAATATGGCACTTTTCTGATTTTGGGCAACAGTATGGCCTCTAGCATAAGCTGTTGTTGGCTCGGGGCTGAGGTTTTCTAATATGTGGCAGGATTGCACAGCTGTCTGTAGGCTGCTCTTTTTTCTAAAATAGCCAGAGTATTTCACATGCTCACCACTCCCCCTCCAAGCATTGGTCCACCCTTGGCACAGTCATGGACTGGAAGCTTTATACAGTGACACCATCAGGAAAACTCCATCGATTTCATGCTGATACATTCAGAGGATTCAACGGGACACTACTGGCTTCTTTATGGTCGTGGAGCAGCACAAAAACTCTGCCTAGTAGCCAGCATACAATTCTCCATGTCCTTCAGTTTTTTTCTCTTTTACTGACTCAAGCCCTCTGCCCTCCCAAAAGAAGGGTGACAGCTTGGAGTTCAGTTCAGCGCCTGCTCAGATTCTTCCCACTCCCTCAAAAATTGCTAGATTTACAATTTCAAGTTGTAAGGTTTGTGTGGGGATGTAATATGATAGAGAATTATACCACTAGGCTCTACTATGCCAGTTCATCGCACAGCATTTACTGGTGCAGTTTGCATACTAAGCTGAGCGTGCTTAAGACTTGCACAAATCTCTCGAGCTGCATCAGTGAAAATAGAGGTGCATAAAGCATAGCTTTGGTCACTTTTTTGTGGCAGTGTGATACCTTAAGGCTCATGAGGTCTTGACAGTGTCATTAATAAACCCTGCAGAATCAGTAAGTGAGAAGAAAAAGTGATTTTGACTTTGTGCATCAATGAAGAAAGCTATTAAATGGGCACTTAAAGATCTTTTCCTTCCAGCAATTCACTCACACATTTGATAGCTGAACAAGACATGTGGAAGATGCTTTGCATAGAATACTGTGACAACCTGAAGGAATTGTGAGCAAGCTTATAAATAGTTTCTTAAAGCATGTAATACAGATCGGCAATGGCGGCAGGAAGAGATTTAAGGAGCTATTGCAGAAGGAGTACAAATGGAGTGAATCTTTCTCTAAGTGTACTTAGCACATGTAAGCACGTACGTTGTTTTCCTTTTCTGTATTTTTTGCCAAGAGGATATTCTTAAACGATATTTTAATTTGACCATTGAGGAATGTGAAGATGGCTATGCTCTGGAGACTTTCCTGCTGGAGTGGCTTAATGAGGTCATAGGAGCAAGCTTAATGCAGGGCTGCTTCTGAGGAGGTACTTCTCTCCACTGCAAAGCTCCGCTCCAGCATTCTTCTCTGTTGAACCTTGTGCTGCTCCAGGAGATCAGTTTCTTTTCAGAGGCCGGGGAGTCTGCCTTGCCCATTCTTCCCCCTTTCCACTGCATCACGCTCCCATGTAGGATGATGGGAGGAATTTCTGTGGACATTACAAAACGAAAAAGCACGTCTTGTATGTGTTCATATAGCTGACCCAGGCAATGTTTGATTGTCACAAGGTGTTTATTAACTGTATCGTTGCTCAAACCGGGCAGCTTCCAAATTGTCGGAATGGAGGGGTTTCAACTCCGTCTAATAACTAGGTCTAAATATCTGTGCAAATTCTCTAGTTTGATTTATACAATCTGCTTGCTCTTTTAGTATCTGAAAATGTTTTTTAACAGCAAAGCACCCTGATTGTGCAACCACTTACCCCCAGAGTTAATTGTAACCGTGTGAGTATACAATGCACGTTCTTAAAGCTAATTCAAGGCATAAGTGATACTGGATCAGAACAAAGTATATTACTTATTTTAGAAATACAATTACAAAAGCAGGATTACGTATGTTGAATATTAAACCATCACAGTTTAGGGTAAAAGCAATATAAAGCAATATTTTTTGAATCTCTTACCTAGTAAGTTTAGTATGTTTTCAGAAAAAAAATCCACAGCCAGCAATTCTTGCTGTTGGTTTGAAAAGGAACTCATAGCTACAAAATCATGTTAGTGGGTTTGTAATTAAAAAAACAAATAAATCTTAATTCTAGTGAAAATACCACCACCCCGCCATCACCTGCTGCTTGTCTTATTCAAAAGTGATTTGTAGCCAGACACAGTTTTGGGTCAACTGTGTTAGCCCAGAGAGTTCTGTGAGATGTTAGTGCTGACATGTCGTGGTTAGAACAGTTTTACCTTCCAGGCTTTGCGATGTAACTTTACAAAACTCCCATGGAGTAATTATTTAAATTAAATGAACTTTTCAATGTTAAGAGAACCTTAGATCATGGGTGCATCAGTGAGCAATGTTGACCTGGCCTTAGGAGGCATTTCCACCAGGTTATTAATTAAAGATTTCATCAGAATTGTTTTGAACTGACATGTCCACCCTCCCCTCCCCCCCCCCGGGAGGGTTAATGGGAAGTGCCTTCAGTCTTATAGTATCTCAGTGATGTGTAGTGTGTACCAGAGCCTGGATATGTACATGTACTTGGCACGTAGCTTGACTCTTCATGAGACACCAGAATAACTAGTTCCTGCTTGATAGATGGTTTTGGGAATAGTTCTGAGGCTGCGTTTTTGAGGTCAGACACCACCTTACTTCTTAGGGCTGTGGTCCAGATTGAGTGTGATGAGCCAGCAAAGCAAACTCTGGTCATGTTGCCATTTCATTGTGGGTTTTCTGGCAGCTTACAAGACACTTTGAACATTTCCTGTTGTACGCTTCCTCTGGTCTGTCATCCGTTCAATGTCAGCAGTTTTAGTTTGCTCACCCTGAAGTGACACTGTTAGATCAGACTTGGCCCGGAATGCTAGTTCTATAAAATTAGTGTGTGGGGGGAGGTGGGGAAGGGATGTGTGTGTTTTCTTTCTTCTGTGCTCAGACATTTTAATTGCAGTAGTTGAATCACTAGCAGTAGTTGAACAAGCTCTAATATACTTATCCTTTTAATGCTTTTGTAGTAGGGAAATTCTTCCTCTTCCATTGAGGAGGAGATCAAGGACAATACTGCACTGCGTAAGGTGGACTTCCATACTCTGCCATCTACATTCAAGATGCAGCAAACAACTAAGACTATCCACTATATAAGGATACTGAATTATGGTCCTCTGTAGTATCAAAAGGCAAGGGTAGTGGCTGTCATCAGACACACTAACTTGTGCTATGCAGTTGTATTTTGAGTGTGAGTGATTTTTTTTTTATTTGATTGTTTTTTGTTGTAATAACTGGATTACATGAGGCTCTTTATGGCTGATTCCATCCTCCCAAAAACGAGAAGGTAGTTGCTGGCTAAGCAGTGTAAGTAATTTACTCATGCCTGGTGAACTTTCAGGAATCTACTTGGTTTGGATGTTTGTGGTCTGAGAGAGCAGTCATGGACGTTGATGTCAACAGACACTTCACGTTTTGAAGGCTGTTATCCAGGAATAAATTTGTCAAGCCTTAAGCATTTCATTCAGCCTGTGTGCACATATTCTGTTCTTGTCTATTTCATTGGAGCAGGGGAAAGGGAGGGAAAGAAGACGAAAGAAAATTTCTTTAGAGGAACAAATAAACTACCACCTTGTACCTCTTCTGGGCAAAAATCTTTCCTGTACCAATGTACTCTGTTAAAAGCTGATGTTTTCCTGCCATGGAAAACTAGATCTATGACTCAAACTTATCTGAGGATCAGAAAGAGCGAAAGTTAGCAGTCAGGTATTTTAACTTGAAATAAGACATAATTTAATAAATTTAAAACATGACCAAAAACACATGGCCAGATTTTATGTTTTAGAGATTGCGTATTTCTGGAGATAAGATACTTGAATGCATGGAGCTTCATTTGTTGCCCTGCAAGAAATATTAGGAGTGCAGTATAATTAACTTTTTTCTAATACTGTGGCTGCAGCAGAATAAGTTAAACTCAGTAAAAACAGATCCAAAAAGACATTAATGCTCATGTGGTTGCGTGGTGTTTTTGTTTGTTTGTTTGTTTTTTTTAAGCGATCAATGTAAATCAGCTTGTTCTGTTTTAGTGAATTAAAATATTGTTCCTGAGAGAGAAAAACTTTATTAAACAGGCATTTATGCCTAAGTGTACTGGAACAGCAATATAGACCTATCGTATATTGATGGGTAGTGCTCCCCAACATACTTTGAACATGCTATAATATCCTTTTAAAGTAAGTAAATATAATCTATTTTATAGTTGGGGCAACAGAGGACTGCAGTGAGTTAGCTAAGCAAACGGCATTATGACAATAGAATGAGAACTGAAGAGTTGTTCTGGGTCTTGAGTCACTGTGATGCAGCTCTTGATCAAGCCTTGTTTACAGCAAAAGGAACTCTGTTAAACTTCTCATTCTTTTTTTTTTTTTCTTTCCTGAATTTTAGGAAAATATTAGATTACTTCTATTAATGACTTATAATTAAACATAGTATTGTATTCCATTAAACTATCTGGTAATTGGTTTTTATAAAGTAGAGAAACAAGTCAAATTTATTTTTTACATTTTGTAATATTGGTTTATGAAAGTCACTTAGTCTTTAAAAAAAATCAATTTATGTAAAGAGATTAACAGTAGATTCTATTTCTTTTCCTCCCTAGGAGTTAAGAGAAGACAACATCATATTAATTGAAACAAAGGCCATGCTAGAAGAACAGTTAACAATGGCAAGAGCTCGTGGTGATAAATTGCATGAATTAGAGAAGGAAAATTTGCAGTTGAAGTCCAAACTTCATGATGTAGAGCTGGTATGCACCCTTTCTTTCATTATACTAATTTTTTCCGGTTCTGTTTTTATGCTAGGTCACATAAATTCATGTCACGGAAACCAGTGGAGGGAGTGAAATAAATCAACAGTGCTTTTTAAGATGTCTTTAGTTTGAACTTTTGTGTGTATGCATACGCTTTTGTGTATGTGCGTAAATATTACCAGTGTTGCTGTGTGGGACAGAGTTCTACAAATTTCATTTTATGCAAGAACGTAGATTACAATTTTAAAATGTAGAATAGTTTCACACACATTTATAGCGGAGATTTGAAAATCTGCCAGTTAAATAGAGATCTTTTAGATACAGAATACAGAAACTACTGTAATACACAATTTTTTTATTGGAAACAAAATCCACAGCTGTTACGATAACTTTAGGAACCCATCGCTGCTGTAAAAGAGGAAAAAAATCCAGAATTGATTACTACATAAATCAGAGACATGGCTTATTGCTACACAGGCAAAAGAGATGCAAGAAGTGGCAATGTATTGTGTACAAACAAAAAGCTAATGTTGGATTTTATAGTCCCATCAGATATAAGAAATTGTCTTTCGTCTCCTGTGTTTAACTTAGCATTCCTCCTGTTATCACACTTGATTTTGAATCCTTGTGGATTTAAACTTTTTAAAAATGGGGTATGTTAGAAACAAAGATGTGAGGATGCTGTATGGAGTTATGTTTAATGACTGATTCAAGGCAAGTTTCAGCTCCCACAGATGTAAATGGCCCAAAATCATTACCATAAGCAATGGTAGCCTTATTATCTGGATCCATTTTCTGGATAATTGACAACCCCAAATTATGTATTTTCTTGATTATGCGTATGACTCAGTCCAAATCAGACATAAGAAGTTGAAGAAGCCCCATAGAATTCAAGATTGTATCTGCAGAGTCTCTAGGGTGTCTCTGCACCATACTACTTTTTTATGAAGAGCTTTGCTCGGGCCATAGCTTGAATCCAGCCAGCCTTATTAGCCTGACCCCAGCATCACTCAGCATTTCTTCAGCCTCACTGCCTTTTCTCCAAGTGTATTGTGGATCTGAACTGACCTCAGACAGGGCGAGTTAGGTGTCTGCACGGCGTTTTATGGCCCATGCGGTAGCTCTACAGACAATTAATACTATACATGTATCTTAACGTTAAGACACACATTGCTTAAGGAGAGGTTTCTACCCTCAAAGTGTGTGTTGCTTTAACAGTTCAACTTGACAGAACCTTCTTACAGTTAAGCTATGATTATATCTTCATTCACGGACTTCCTGCACAGGATCGGGACACGGACAAGAAGCGAATTGAAGAACTACTGGAGGAGAATATGGTCTTGGAGATTGCACAGAAGCAGAGCATGAATGAATCTGCACACCTAGGCTGGGAACTAGAACAACTGTCAAAAAGCACAGATCTTGCAGATAGTGAGTAGCAGCTGGAGTAGCTGTTGTGGTGCTTATGGTCTTAGAAAAAATGGGAAAGTTACTCAGCTAGAAGGGAACAAAAACTGGAGTCCAAGCTTGTATTTCTTCAGGTGAACTAGCATTTCCCTTATTGAGCCAGCTGACTTTGAACTTAGGTTTTAAGGACTTCTAAAACGCACTTTTTGCTAGCTTCTTTCTTTATTATGAAAATATTAACGTGTTTTTCTTTTGGTTGTCACTGAGAGAGTGACTTTAAGTAAAATGATAAAAAATAAAAAAAAAAAGAAACTTTTGTAAATGACACAGCAGAAGTTTCACACTGAACACTGGATATTTCTAACTGAGTGGTTGAGAGAAGCCTGTGATTTTCAGTATTCTTTAGTGCAACTAGTACAGATTAGCTAGTCTTTAAGTCCTAGGACAGTAGCTTATGCTGAAGTCATTTATTTTTACTAGATGCTGAAAAATGCATATTTATTTCTTAAAAATGGTTGGTTTGATTTCTATCATTGTCAGAAACATAATGAATGCTTCTTTCAATAGACAGGTCAATAGACAGGTCTGGTAATTGGCTTCTGTGCCTAATATTTATTCTGTTTATAGTACTAGACTAAACAACAATCCTAAAGCGAGACTGAGAAATACAGGATATTTCTTGCAGAAGTTCAGGATAAAGCTTTTTTTGATTACTTGCCTGATTCTGCTAAGACTTACGTGTTTGGCTTTGTCTACTGGGAACAGTTTAAGTGAAGTCAATGGGATAAATTAGAATAGATGGATATTCAGTTATAAGTAAAGCTATCTAGAAGAATAGCTTTATTTCGTAAAATAACTGATTATGATCACGGCACTACGTTAATTCTCAAAACTGCTTGCTGTCTAGAATCTTATTTTTCTTAACTAAGATTAATGGCTAATTGTTACCTTTAACTCACAATCTTGCAAAGGAGGCTTATCTTAACCGGCAAAGTTAATGGCACTCTATTCCTCCTTATTCATTATCAGTGATTTTCAGTGATTTTGTTTATAGAATTAGTTAGTGGCGAAAAACACTGTTCTCTCAAAACTAACAAATTTTGATTACCAGTACTTCAGGAAAATGTAAAACTATCTGATTTTCTGACTACTTTCAAAATCACAGATTTTGTACCCTTTCTGATTTGATTTCACTGGTGATGCAATAGAGTGAAGAATATCTAGTTTTGTTATCTCCTATTTATTCATTTCCAAGAACCACAGCTTTCAAAATTCACAGCAGAATATGTAAAAATAAATAAAAATAAATTAAAAGAATTCTTCATTGTAGTTTTAGCTTTTCTAGCACTGGAGCTCGAGAGCTACTTCCAAGTAAACAAAGAAAAGCAGTGAGAGGAACTGAGAACATCAGTTATCTTTTGTATTCAGTAGGGAAAAAAATCAAACCTAATGTAAAAAAAAAAAAAAAAACAAACAAACTTTTTCAGAAAGATTTTATTAGCCTTGCTTCCATTTCGCAAATGATCCGAGAACATCAGTTTTCTTTTTTATTCAGTAGGGGAAAAAAAAAAAACTAAAGTAAAAAAAAAAAAAAAAAAACAAACAAACTTTTTCAGAAAGATTTTATTAGCCTTGCTTCCATTTCGCAAATGATCCTGCTTAATGGACCTTGCTGTTCCAAACACAACTGTCTTGTGCAGATAGATCTGGTCTGCCAGGACCTTCTGGTAATCCATAATAAGGAAAACCTCCTCCTCTTGGATTTCAGGTTGAGTCTGTGAGGTTGGTAGATTTTAAAAAGGTTTTACCTGTTGGGAATATTTTATTCAAAATCATTAAAAAACTAAGCATGAAAGCAACATAATTTAGACAGGCTTTGCTTCAGAATAGAGTTGAACTGGAACATTTTGTTAATGTTGTTATTTGACTCTTAATTTGACCAGAACTCTGCAGGCGACGGTTTTCAAAAAGATACAAAGTTGTAATATTTTTAGAAATTTGCCAGCTCTGAAGTGTTGTTTGGTGTATATAATAGTGATGATTATTTTAGCAGGACTGAAAGCAGGAATGAATAATTTTCTGAGACTTAATATGAAAGTGACTTTAACATTGTTGTTAAATGTGTTTTTGAGTTGAAGAGTAGCAATTATTATCCTGTGTAAAACGGGATTTTTTTTTTTTTTTTTAATTCTGGTGCTGAGTAGAGAAAGGAACAGAACAGTACAGACTTTGGTACTGGAAATTAATGTTAGTGAGACCTTAGATCTCTAAACTTTTTAAGTAAAGTAATGTCTCTATTGTAAAACTTGCATAAATGTTGTTAGTCTTAAGATTTCAACCTGAGAGAATTCTGTGATCAGTATTCTGATGGATGTTCTGCACTTATGCAACTGGTAATAAAATATCTTCCCAGATTCAGTGTATGAGGGAAGTAGCTGTGAGGCTAAGCACCATAACTCACTTTTGTAAGAGTTTTCCATGACTAAATAGGATCAGATACGGGAGTTTTCTTTGGCTTTTGGAAGCGCGTCATTTTGGTGTGTTGCAAACAATTCTCAGTGTTTTACTCTCTGCCTCAATTACCTCCCCTGATGGAGGTGTGAAAGAGTATCAAAATATGTTTTCCTACTAACCATTACTGGTTGAAGTAACTTTAAGAGAATAGGTTAGGAAAGTAAGTAGCTTTCAGGATGGTTATCTCCTCCAGTCCAATAAAAGTAAACTTGCTTATTTGCTGGATCATCAAACCTTCCTCACTCTAAAGACCTTAGAGCCTTGTAGCACTGAAAAAACATGCTTGAAATTCATCATAAGAAAAATTTTGAGATAATTTTGAAATTCGAACTAAAAATATTCCCTTTTTATATCACGATCATGATGGTTATCTCCTGGGATACTTCCTTGTTTAATAAAGACCTTGCTGTTTTCTGAGGAAATGTATTCTGTTTTTATGAAAGTATTAACTTAGCAGGCAAGCTGAAATGATAAGGATCTGGCTGCAATGATTTTCATAAAAGCGAGTCATACAGGCCTAGAAAGGGGGATGTTTGTGAACTGGTTAGCGCCATCTTCTGATTCTCGTGTTTCAACAGCTAGGAAGTCCTTTGTGTTTGAGCTGAATGAGTGTGCGTCGAGTCGCATACTGAAGCTAGAGAAGGACAATCAGAGCTTGCAGAACACGATCCAAGAGCTGAGAGATGCCTCCTTGACCTCCAGAGAGAGCAGCCTGAAGTTTGTGGAACTGGAAAAAGAAAATCAGCAGCTCAGCAAAAAGGTAATTCCTGAACAGTGAAGGACTGCGGGGAGTTCACCAGTGTTCTCCAGGAGAATGGGCATGTTTTCAGACCCTTCTGTATAATGTGAGAAGATCTCTTCTCACACTGGTATATTCCATTGCCTTCCACTCCACTGTCTATGTAGATGCATCGCTGTAAGCAAAAGTGACTGTTCCTGTTTCACAAATCCTGCCCTTTGGTGCTCGTTTGCCCCGGCATACTATGCTATTGTTTCTCCTACTCTGTCGTCTTGTGACAGTCTGTACTGCTTGCTCTGTCAGGTGAGGAAGCTGTGGCCACATTTCACGTTTTTTCCTTGTTCAGAAGTTTTGGTAATGTTTCCATGTAAGTCAAGCAAATCACACAGGTGAACTCAGCTTACGGTATTTGTAAAGAACTGTCGTCTTTGCTGTCCATAGTCCTAGATCAGCTTTTCCTCCTTGTCTATCATTTTGGCTCTAGTGTCTTCGTCTCTGCAAAGCTCTGGGTTCTTCTCATTCCTGGTAACAAATGTGCAGGTCATCACCTCTTAATTTTTTTGTGTATGCACACACACACACACACACACACATTACACACCATTATCAAATTTTATTACATTTAGTTCAAATGTTAGCTCAGCCCTGTCCCTGTGAAATGCAGTGCTCAGTTCACCCACAGTCACTTACTTTATTTTTGTCTGGCTAGAAGCTTGCATTCTGAACTCTCAGTACTTGAGCCAAGAGCCAGTGAGGAAAGAGGATGATTGTTAGTCTGATGAATATGAAAAATTTCCATATCAGTTTCTTCCACGTTCCAACCTGTGATTTGAAAAAAAAATAAATGTATGTGCAGAATATAAGGCCCATTTCTTCTTTCCCTATCACTGCTATGACCACTGTGTGCTACACTGATGGAAGGATTTCAGTCCTCTCTGGTCTGCTTATTGGCTAACTTTAAAAAGGACAAAGGGAGAAATAATCGGGATATAAAATGCTAGTCATAGATTACTAGACTGTAATTAGTAGAATGTTGACTTCTCTGCCAAGGAGAGCAAGGATCCATTGCTACCTTCTGGAGAGAGTCTCCCTGCCAAGTTGAGAAACCAGTTCTGCTTCTTGACGTTTTTCTGTGCACAAGAAAAATTGTTTGCAAAAATTCAGTTCACTGTACTCCTTCTCCACTCTGATTTATGAACTATTGTGTATGAGTAATTCACTCCAGCTGTAATGTACATGCTTAAAATTTAAGATCAAGAGATACAAAGCACTCAGCAGATACCTGTGGTGCACAGCAATTTAAGTCATTTAAACAGCTGTGGTCAACCTTTGGCTTTACCCCAGGCACATTTCTGTGGGTACCTCTAGTTATGGCGCTACATTAGTGCTAACAGTTGTGATTCCGGGATTAGTTGGATGTTTTCAGTGACAATGAACGTGTTGATGCGGTGGAGTCATCTACAAGTCTGCTAATTTAAAAAGACCAGTAGTGGTGAATGCCTGTGTGGAGCAAGGAGCATCAGACAATGAGAGAAAAATGGGCAGTGAGTTAAAAATGAAGAGCACTTGAAATGTGTGAAAAATGTATGATAAATCAAATTCTTCACTAGATGAGCACAGAATAGGATGGGAATTGACATAATCTGTAAGTGTTGACTGAATGCCACAGGCCGGTCAAGTTGCTTGACTGGGTCGATCACGTGATCAGAGAGAGATGAAAATAAAGGTAGTTGACAGTACTCACTAGTGAGTGAGATATACACTTTATAGGGAGACCTGATATATGATATATAGAAGAAAAAACTTGGTTTGAGGTGTGGCTTTTTTAGTCTTATTTTTCTCTCGCATGCTTTTGTATTTCTCAAATACTTGCATCTCCTTACTTAGTTGTGTTAATATGTATGACTGTACTTTGTGGGGGGCAAGGGGATGTCCAGGGCAAAAGGATAATAGGGAAAAGGGAGTTGGGGCTGAAATAACTGCAAAATCAAGCCACATGTTCTGTGATTTACTGCAGAATGGTAACTGCAGTAGGCAGAGGAGAAGGTGGCAGTTCTTAAGGTCTGTTAAGGAAATAGTATATAAAAGACATAGGACAAGAGACAGAAAGCAGATCCTGCCCTCCTAAAGTTATTTAAATGGAGTCACATTTCACCCAGTGTCCAGGACTCTTACAACTTGTTACCTAAGTGTGCTTGGCTGCCCACTCATCTGGTTGTGCTTGGAAGGTGCATGTAGCAGGAACGGAAGGGGATTGATTATTCAGGGTAGTACAAGTAGAGGTGATACTAAGGAAAAGTCCTGTACTGTTTTGTTTTCTTTTTTTTTTTTTTTTTCCTTGCAAGGTTTCAAGAGGAGCTAATAGTAGAAAACCCACCTCTCAGGCACAGTCCAGGAGCAGCAGCCCAAGTAACTAATACTGCTTTTTTTCTGCGTTCCTTGGGCTGCAACAAGCTGTAAACAGTAGTTTCTTACTTGCCTGCCATTCTCTGGGAGGTGCTAATGAAGACCAGCTATTGCAGAATTACAGAGTTCATGTTCTAGCATTCTCTGAACAGCTCCTTTGGGACCAATGAACCTTATCGTGGTTACATTTCTAAATGTTAAGCCCTTCTTATCTCCAATCTGGGCAGCCCTGCTTGTTTAAACGCTTCCTGTAATGAGGCCTATGTTGACATAGGCAGAGCCCAGCCTCCAGCTATTTCCCACTTGCAACAATTATTGTTAATACCTTTTTCATTGGCATTTTCACTGTTGGCAAAGTTCATAATGTCAACACAAAAAAAAAATGAACTGATACTTGTGCAGAGCTGTTGTTGTTCACAGTATTTTTCAAGCAGAAAAAGAAATACTTCCTGCCTTGGGCAGTTAGGCCTCCGAACCTCTTGCTTCTGAATACTGAAAACCTGCTGCTTTACAGTGCTCAGTACGTTATAAGACCAGCTTTCAAAAGAAGGTAGTAAAAAGATGCTGTTTATTGTAGGACTGGGTCTTTATTCACAAATCATTCAAGTCCAGTGATCTGCTGAGGAAAATGGAGTGCTGACAGAACACAGAAAGAGGGAGTGTAAACTTCAAAATTCCAGCACTTTTTCTCTATTCCTGATTTTTTAATTCTGTTGTTCACTGAGTTGTCTTAATAACCTTCTCCTCATCAGCTGGTGGAGTAAGGCTGTTGGCGATGGAGAGGCTAGCAGGAGACAGAGTCTGTGAGGTGGATGAGCACCAGGAACTTCAGTTGTTGACAGGAGCAAGAAGGGGCCTTTATGCAGACAGCTGAAGCATTTCTCCCTGATGTACCTTTTATGGTCTAATCTTAATAGGCAAGATGGAGATTCTTGGCACCGTGAGAAAATGATCCTGTTCCTCCCCTGCACCTAGCAAGCTACAGAATGAGGGATGCAGTCCTTCCCGCCATACTTCCTGTCTCCTTCCTCTGTGTTCTTCAAAATACCTTTAAATGTGAACAATTGTTGTGTTAGGCTATGTCTGATGTGTTCTGGGATGTTCTCTTCACACAGATTGAAAAATTGCAAAATCAGATTGAAAAAGAGAAGCAAAGTAATCAAGATCTGGAGACCTTAAGTGAGGAGCTGATTAAAGAGAAAGAACAGCTACAAGTCATCATGGAGAGTTTGAAGGCCGACAAAGACAGACAGGTGCAAACTTTACAAGTGTAATCCAAAAGCGTATGCTCAGTAGTGGTAATTTACTGATGCCATTTAGATGCCGTCTATTTCTTTCAGGGAGATAGGGCAGTTTGAGAGCTATTCTGTGTGGGATGAACTTGTTCAAATGCAGGTAAAAGGTTTCTGAGCAAACCCCAGCATATTTTGGTAGCTACTGCTCATCCTGTTTGCATAGGTGGGATCTGCATGCTGTTTGTAAAGGCATATCTCCCCTCTTCTTTGAGAAAGAAGCCCTGGGCATTACTAAACAGGTACTCGCTGGATTTGGTCAGGTTTGGACTGACAAATAAAGCATTAAGTTTTAAATGCCCTTCAGCTTTTACTGCTGCACTGCAGTTTGTGTGCAATGCCTTGAAACCTCACACAAAATCTGTATTAGTTTGACTAATGAAGGGAATACATAAACAGGTTGTTGGAGGGTGGACTGCTTACTTTTAACATGTATTAAAATTTGAACCTTGACTTACGGGACAAAGATTAAATAACAAAATATCTTATTTAGGTAGTATTTATCATCTTGAAGGATTCTTACATAAACTTCTGTCTGGGAATTTGCACTTTACCTCCAAAGTCATACAGTTCACTTACAAAACATGGATTCTTTGTGACAAGAATTAGTGAATGCTTCACATTAAGGGCAGTAAGTAAAAGCAAAAGTATCCTCAGTCACTGGAAAAAGCCAGATGCTGATTTTTCAGACCTAAGTCCTGTTCAATTTCTGTGGACGTTATGCAGTTAAGAATCAAATGCAAATCCCAGTCTAAATTGCAGTTGCTTCAGGTGGAATTTGGTCACTGGGGTAAATGCTCTGCTTTTGCAGAAATTATGTCCTTAGTGAGATCTGTAACCACTAGCAATATTCAAGACCTTGGGGGTTTCTGAAGTCTTATCAGAAAGAATGTGTCCTCTATTCTCAGAGGTGTTTACATTTGTAAACTTAGGCAGAAAGATATCCTTAATGAGGAGTAATTCCTTAACAAAGCAGTTACTCCAAGGTGTTCTTTAAGACATCCTGTCTACTTTCTCTCTACTTAGACCTTTTTAGCTGCTAGGAGGAACGCAGCACCATTTTTAATTCACCCGAGTTACAAGTTACCAGAGGTACCATTTTTTTCATGAGTTCAGGTTGTTGGTTTTAGTCAGGGATAACTGCTGAGGAATTTGTATTGGGTGAAATGGAGGTGGTTTCGTTAACACGCTCGTTTGGCTTCTTCAGGTCTAAATTGTCCTGCAGGTTGTAAGGTAGATGAGTAGCATTTGCATGACTTTTTTGTTCATTTCTGTAGATAAAGGACCTTAAACAAGAAAATGATCACCTTAATCAAGTGGTCTTATCCCTGAGACAAAGATCTCAAGTAAGCAGTGAGGTCAGAGTAAAAGATATTGAAAAAGAGAACAAGATCCTTCATGAAACAGTTACAGAAGCTAGTAGCAAACTGAGCAAGCTGGAATTTGAAAAGAAACAGTTACAGAAGGATTTTGACCAGGTTAAAGAGAAAGTGGAAAGAGT